ATTTTTTAAATGAATAAAGAAAAAATTTAATTTATTAGATATTTAACTAAATGAATAAAGAGAAAATTTAATTTATTAAATATTTAATTTGTTTAATAAATATAAATTGACTTTTGAGATCAATATACGTAATATTTTTGTTTTCGAAACAACATTATTAGAATGATATTTTCCTTATCTCACTGTAACGTATTATTACATATTCTAATTTTTGCAGGTATTATAACTTTGAAGGGACTTGTTAGTATTCGTAATGGAGAAAAAGAGGCTGCGCAAGAAAGATATATTGAGAATGGATGGTCTTCTGCCTCCAACTCGGCGCTTGCCAGTTTCTGACGCAGTATCCAGTGCATCGGATAAAAAAAAGGACAAGAAATGGTCGATAGGTGGTATCCTGCGTCGAATATCCTCAATTAAAGATTATGATAGTTCCTCTAATGAAGAAGAGATTGTATATTGCAACAGGACACCGAGAAAGCCCATCAAGCTCAGCAAGCAACCTGATGGTGTTGTTCTTCATTCGATAGAGAATAATTCAAAGCAGGAGATGACAGTTGAAAATAACGTTCGCCATTCGATAGATTCACATCGAGATTCGCTACATTCGCGTAGTAGCGACGGTTCGTTGGACGGTTTAGGAAAGAAGATTCGAAAGAACAAACTGAAAGCTCGAGCCGAAGCCAAGAGGGATTATCTATGCGTCGAAAGCAGTTCCGGCGAGGATTGTCGGAGATCCAATAATTCATTGAACAAAATTTACGGCACGGACGGTGTGCAAAATGGCCAAAGGAATAATATGTGCAATAGGAAAACGCGTGCTGCTCGAACGGAGCGTTACATCAAGCGCTTATCTCGGGACGAGGGCAACGGCACTGATAGTTTGAACGATCTATATAACAAAAGGTGTTCCTCGGAACATGTCGAAGATAAGCAGCGCGCTGTTTATACTGACGCAAACGGATTGTGTCGCCCGCCCATACATCCGCGCCGATTCGGCGCGTATTCGAATTCGAATCGGACGTTTTCAGTTCAGAGATCCTCCGCGGAGAGTCTGCGGGACGCGCACAGCGCAGGTTTGCCGAACCCAAACGAAGTTTTCAGCGATTACAGGAGATATTCTACTGGACAATACGTCACAGATTTGAATCAGAATAACGCTTATGGAAAGATTTCGCGGCATAGTGGGAACGCGGACAATCGTCAAGCTGGGAATTTTTTTACGTATCCCGCGAAGAACGCGTGCCATTATTCGGAACCGTTCGATTACGTTATCGATCATCGATCGGTTGATCCGGACAGTCAACCGCCCGTGCCACCGCCGAGAGATCCCCGATACCGCGTATTTGGTTATGGATACAGTTCCTATCCGACAAACAGACATCAAAGTGTGCCAAACTCCTTTAAACAAGAAGACAATAAGACTAATGTCGTGAGAGAGATATCGAGACCTGATTGGAGAAATTTTGGATCGTATGGATCAAACAACGAACTCGCCTGGCGCGATAAAGCGGAGCATGAGATGGAAAACCCATCAAATCCTAAAACAGAGTTCCGTAATTCTCTGGAGTGTATAAACAACAAATATAACTGCAGCCGTCATCGGACGGATGAGTCGATTTACGAGGAAAGCGAGGCGATGAGATGTCGACGCAGAAACACTCGCAACGATCAACTTAATTGCAATGACGCGAATTACGGCGCGTATAAGGCCAAGAATAAATCAGTGAACATCTGCGAATCAAATAAACGCGAGACGATTTCATCGCACGCGTCTGCCGCATCGTCCGATTGGTCGTCCGGAAAATCTCCTTGCGAACAGCGTATTTCACGTTCCATTACACCGTATAACATCGATAATCGTACTGAAAACAGCCAAAGAAAAGACAATAGAGTAACGACACCGACCGAGGAAGACCTAGAGAACAGAAGAAGAAGTTCAAAGAACCTCGAGGAAGCTTTATCCGAACTGGAAGCGATATACAACAGCCTTCGTCTCGGCGATGAAGATCTGCTGGATCGTGCGGAACGCCGAAGCATGGAAGAGTTCAGTCTCAAGCAAGCTAAAAACGAGCTCGACGCGGTGATTGTGATTACTCCGGACTCGCCGGACAGGACAAAGGATGACATGGCCTATCGAAGGATGCATCCCAAGGAGAGGCCCACGTCGCTGTCGGATATCGCAGGACAATCTACTCTATCCAACATCAGCTACCTCATCACTTCGCCCGTCCTTTCGCGACGAGATTCAGCGAACGATTTCACGCGTTTACCGTCGACCTATCCGTCCCGTCGGGATGAACCGGATGTGACACGTGACGACGTGGTCTTCCGCAGCATAAATCACGCCAACAACACTTTAAGAGTAATCGATCCGCAGCCGCCGTTCGGTATACCACTCGGACCGGTTACCACGGCGACCGAGAGCGATTACTTGCACACGACACCGACGAAACCGGAACAGCCGCGCTCGCCGTACATACCGCAATGCGAGCCCGATGTAGTCACGGATGACTTGGCTTACAGAGCCCTCAGGAAGGACGCTGGCGCGACGCGGAACGTCGTCCTTGCGGAGAGCAGAATTGACGTCTCGAAGGAACAGCCGCGAGTCGGCATCAAGAAGAAACGCGCTGTCAGATCCTTGTCGGCCAATCTTTACGGATTGATCAACCATGATCGAATTCATTTGCGACGCGAGCCCAGCCTCGACACCATTAAGGACGAAATACAGAACGTTGCAGCGAACAACTTGGCCTCAATGTTTGAGCGACCGGAATATCTCAGACGCGTTGTAAGCGACGGCGAGCTGTCCGATAACGACGCAGCGCGTAGGCGAATGGAACCAGCGGCGATTACAGGCGAGACCGACATCAACGGCAATCATCCAGCGATGAACGCGTACCGGAAGAAGCTATGCGTTTCACCAGAAACGGCGATGCAGGCAAATCTCAAAAAGGAGAAGGAGCCAAATATCGCGGAGCTGTCCGATGCCATGCTGTCTTCGACAACCGTCTTGGATGATAAATTTTGGCACGAGTACTTAGGCTCGGGTTCCAACGTCTCGATGCCCGAGAGCGGTCGCGGCACGGAAACGGTCTTCACCGCATACAGTCGTCTCTGCCAAGATCTGGTTAACTTGATAAAAAACGATGATGGTGACACGGCGCCGCCAATCGAGTCATCGAACGATTCTGCCGTCATGCCAACAGATAAATCGAATGACTTCGACGTCGAGCTCGGGGTCGACGAACCCTCAATGAGCATCTCTATACGTTCTGTAAGTAGCCATTACCCAGGACGTACCGCGCGTGCCAACGACGAGCAGAACATCGAGAACCCGACCGCATTCCCAGTTACGAATTCCGCGAGGCCTGTATCGGAAACGACGCCAGCAGCCAACAACCTTGATTTCTATCTTTGCGCGGCGGACGAAAATGTTAAGTTAATTGCGGCGGAGGCTTTCGGCAGTTCGGTCGACCGCCTACGCGATAATCGTCCGTCCGTCCGCAAGAATTCCTGGACGTCACGCAGCTCCGAGGTCGAGAACCAAAGCGGCAGCGCGCGCAGCTCTACTCTATACAGTCAAGACGACCAAACGAGCGACGATCGGCTCGTCGTGTCCTCGAGACTCGAGGAGATAACTCGCGTACCTTCGAAACGCAATTCATCGACGAGCGACGACGGAGACCAAAGCGGCGTCAGCCGCTTCGAGAGCCTTTCCACTGCCGATGCGGAATTATCCAGGGCCGTCCGCGATCTGGAACTAGCTGCGGCCAGTCTGTGCGAGCACGGACGGGAAATCGAGGACCTTGGGAAAACGGGACGCGGGGAGAAGACCGATGCCCGCATGACGCCCATCACTGTCGTGTCCACCACGGACGTGGACAATCCGATTCGTAAGATTAATCTGATCGCCGATGCCCTGAGGCAGGAGCAGGAACGCGATCAGGAGGAGATCACCGTGGTACCGCCTAGCGGAATCGAGACGATGCGTAGCGATGCGCGAGACGAAGGTGAGCGCACATCGTGCGAGCTTGATGATCGTGCGGAATCGAGCAAAGACGCGCGGTCCGCGAATGTTTCCCGTGTCACTAACATCATAACTGTCACGGTAACGACGTATCCCATGCTCCTGCTCGCTTGTCTCCTTGCATTGCTTTTAGCGATTGTAGCAGCATTGTGAAAGCATACGGGATCGCGTATCTATAAGTCATGTGTGTGTGATCTGCGATGTGCTGGACGTCATCAACGATAACGTCTATTAATCCTGTGTTTATTTGCAAATGTCCTTACTAATGTCGCAGGTCTCCAGGCGCTCGCTCGCCCGCAATGATCCTCGATCGCATTGAAACGTGCTCGCTCGAACTGACGATCGACAATGGTAGTATGACACGAGAGACGGGGCACGTCGATTTTTTTTTTGTATGATAATAAGAAAAGAGAGAAAAGAAAAGAGAAAGAGCGAGAGATGCAGTTTCTCTGCGGGCTGTTTAAGGCACATCGATTTGTTGTTATTGCTCTTGTTATTGTTGTTGGTTTTAATAAAGTTTAAACGTTAATCACACGTGCCAGAGTAATCTTATTGTGCGCAAATATAAACACCCCTGCTCTGCGACGCATTCATTTTTTATTTACTCCGACCCTTCTATTAATTGATATTGTTTTAGTATACAATTTCTTTCGTTATTTGATATAATATTTTCTGCATATACAATATGTAAAATTTAAAGAGAAATTGAATTACGCGATGAAATCGGATTATTTTCTTTTCATTTTACAAACGATATTATAGACTTCTCTCTCTTTCCTGATACTACTGCTAAAAGTGCATAATATTTATTTTAAACAATAATCTAAAAAACACGGTTACATCTTTTTCGTAAATTGAATACATTTCATCTTTTTATGATTATATAGTATGCGAATGTATTTTTAATTTATAATTTTCGTAAAATGTGTATGTGTGTGTGTTGGATTTTAATTAATTCTTAATTAACATTTAATCCTCTACAAATATCTATAACCAAATATTAAAAAAAAAAAAAATGGTTAAACTTTTTTCATGATTCGAATGCATTTTATCTTTTTATGATATAGTACGCGAAAGTATTTTTAATTTATAAAGTTTTCGTAAATATGTGTATGTGTGTATTGGATTTTAATTAATTTTTAATTAACATTTAATCGCCTATACACAAATATATATAGAACGTTATATTTATATAATAATGACTCCATTTACATGTCACCCATAAACGAATTTAATAACATCCGTAATTTTAAAAATAATAAATCATAAACATTTCATTCATCAGAGGAAGAGTTATGATCGATCAGTTTTAAAATTACGGATGTTATTAAACTCGGTTAAAAGTGACATGTAAATGTAGTGAATAATACGGTAATAATAAGATAAGTATAGTTAATGTTAATAATAAGGCAAATTAAATCGACGCATGATAAATTATCGCGCCGTCGATAAATTTACTCTCTCCGTATTTAGACTCACCTGATAACACGTACATACAGCCATTCAAATGTGAGAGCGCTGGTCGTTATCGGGGCCAGGAAAAATGCCGGTCTTCATCGATTTTTACAATCTTCATCGCGTTTGACATCCGCATAATTTTGCGCTACTTACATGTGTCGGCGAAGAGGCACGAATATCTAGATCGCTATTAAATTACAATAAATATATATGTATATATATTTACATACGCACAAACGGCACGCGTCTTACCGCCGTTGCGTCGCGCCGGGTGTGTGGCGCTTAAAGTTAGCCGCATGCAAACGTCGAGTTTCGAGTTATCGATCGCGCGGGTCGCTGGCGTGACGTCACCGAGGATCACGCCACATCCCCGCCCGCGACGGCTCGCCGTCCGATTGGTCCACGCGCAGGCCGGCTGTCTATATCGAGATCCGCGCACCGGCTGCCCCCGAGTCGAATCCGTACATAAGCTCGAGTATACGACGTGTGATGCAACGTGACACATAGTGAGTTTCGTCTGACAACGTACGCGAATAATATACTGCATGCACGACGCGACGAATTGAAAGCGAACGGTTTACGCTGAGCGCCGTTCTTTAAACAAATATAAGGTACGTAAGAGATCCCTCCCTTCCCCCCGTTTCGAAAGTTGAACAATAATAACGCGCGTAGAGAGATTGCGATTTGTTGCGATCGTCGTTTTGCGCGATATTAAATGAGTATGAAAGCGTGGTGTTGACGCGATTTCATTTGACATGTGCTCTTAATTCGTCTACTAACGAGATATTAAACGCGATGATCTCTGGGAAGATTTCACGTTTTCGCGAAAGGTAAGAGCTGATCTCGATTTAGAGAGATTAGTATTTACTCTATCGATGCGCGCACAAGATATCGTGTATGGAATGCGTGAAAATAAGAGAATCGTATATTTACACGATATTCGCGTATATGTAAACACAGAAATCATTGTAGGTTTATTTATATACATAGTAGTAATATAGTGCTCCCTTGAAGTTTGCGATTATTAGGGCGTATAAGGAATGGATTATCGATATACACCTGTGTAAAATTGTTTAAATTGTTTTAATCGTAAATAGTGACACGCATAAGTATTTCTACTTTTTTTCAAGAGTATTATTTTTTTCTTAAAGATTTTTCACGAGATTGCTTGTGATACGTTCGTGTATTTACTGCGCACAGTATTTTCGGAACATATGCCTTTGGGCGCCGCTTAACTAACACGTGTGCAGCTTTCTAAGTGACCGTAATGCGACTCGCAAAGTGATCGAGCGATACAACTGATTGTGAGAGAAGGAAAATTGACGACTATATATATTTGTTGCTGACTGATAACGTGTTAATGCGGGTAGAAATCTTAGATTTACATGACAGGGCGTTATTAATGTATCTCATTCCTTTCATAGAATCTCTAATCATTTATCATATTAAATATCATTCAAAGAAATGATTGCAAGAAATAAATGAATCGCTCTCGCCTTTCTTGTTTGCGTTTCCTTCGACTCAATGTCTTATAATAGGCGAAAGTATTATTTAGAATTTATTCATCTAACGGATTTTGAATGTATACGCAAAGATAATATTAATCTCTTTTATTTTGAACACAATTTTTAAATGTCTCGAATCGAATGTTTCAATTTTTGTAAATTTGTTGTTAGCCTAGATATTTTTCAGATATCCTTCGCGTTTTTTAGAATATCAAGTCAGTTTCTTGCAGGCGCGAGACGCGTGATATCATTGTTGTGTTTCGCGTTGAATATATCACGTGTACTTTCAATGTGTCATGTTTATGTGTATTAACTCAGAAAACAAGATGTCTTATCGTCTAAAGACATCTTAAAGACGATAAAACACCTTTTATATTTTACACGCGTGTTGTCTGGGAAAATACTAAACAATTTGTGTAAAATTCACGCGCGCTTCGAAAATAAATTCAAAGAGAGGATGATAAGAACCAATTAACATTTTCGAATTAATTTTCACAAGCTCTATGAAACATTTTTAATTGAATTTCAATTTGAACCGTTATGTGCCTTAAAAAAAAAAAAAAAAAAAAAAAAAAAAAGAGAACAATCCCCCTCTTCCATTTTCAGTGGCTCTTCTCTTTAACACGCGAGATATCTGAAAACCTCCTGCGCTAGATTATGATCGCTGAATCAGCCAAACTGTAGATACGCTTTAGAGATTCGGAAGCTATTCGAGTCAAGGTTGAGCGAATGCAACGAATGTAAGCCGTGTACGATGAAATCGCATTCTTGCGGAAAAAAAAAAATAGGAAGAAAAGCGCGGAGGGTGTTGTTCGTGAGAGAGGCGCTGCTGCGCCTAAAGTTTGGAAACTCTTGACTGAGGGCGGCACGTTTTCCATGCCGACAGGGTACGCTCGTGGCGTCCCATCGATTCCGCTAGTTTCAGGCGGCAAGATGGCCCCGACGTGACGGCGGCGTTGATCTCGGAGTCGTCTTGTCTCCCGCGCTGGCGTTAGTGCGCGCGTATGTAGTACGTACATACATACGTATATCCGGGATCACAGTCATACGGTGCGCGCGTGACACGACGTTCGACGTTTACCCGGAGAATCCGATCGGTGCCGCGATGACGTCGTGGACCAGCCGCTCCAACGAGTCTTGAGAATACGAAACGGAGCAGGAATCTGATACAGAGGGAGAGAGAGAGAGCTGCGGAGGAATTTTCTCTCGAATTGGACACACGTGGTCACGTTTCACAAAGAGAGACTCTTTTCACGGCCGTGAAGCTGCACGCGCGACATCCCCTCGATCGCGAGAACGATGTAAGCATTTACCATGTTTACCATGATGTGTTAATCGTACGTAGAGTGATCCGGGAGGTGAGAAAATATTATACTTTGCCGGTGGAGATTTTGCAGCTAATTTCAAGTATATTGTATCGTGATGAGATGAAATTCTTGGCGGGGTTTTAGAGATGTAATATGAAGGTTTTCATATTTAAGGTTAGGTACACACAAGAGGTACCCGCAGCAGATTTCACACCTAACCATTTATTATGATCATTAAATAGAAATTATATGGATTAAACGGAATTATATGGGTTATACTAATATGTAGCTGCTCTCGTGTTCTCTGATAGCTGTATAAGCGTAATCATTGCAAATTACTGGCTTCGTTATGATCGTTAGGACCGTAACATTGAACTGAATATATACGTTGAGAGACATAAATCACAGCATAGTCAAACATATGACGATCTTCGCGAAGTAGTCAGATGGTAATGTAAATAAAACTTGTCATACTTTGACATCTTCATAAAACGTCTCGTTGATTATCGAGACGCTTACGTAACATTTACGTAACACAATTTTCAATTTAAATTAGCTGTCTCGGGTGCATCGGCAAGGTATCTACATCTCCTCCTGAATCACTCTCGCTATGTTATACGAGAAACGACGATGTTAAGGGACGAGCAAACCATCACTCGGATTACTCCGACTCTTTTAGCGTAGCGCGATATTATTGGTACTCTCGCTGTGTGCGCAATTGGACTTGTCAATTTAAATGGTTGGGACGTGGAGCACGCCGGAACATCGAGCTCCGACTACGAGGACAGTCAGGCGCTGACCTGGTTTTACGGCACCGATGTTACATACATGTACACTAACATTACTTTGCGTTAGATCATTCATTATTCGCAATTCGTGACGTTCGATTTTGGCACCGCGCGTCGCGCGATAGTTGACTCGATTGACAAATCAACCACGTGTTACGCTTTTAGATGTATCGTGTTCGCAAGAGCATAGAGCAAAGTCCTCATTGACCGTGCGATAAACCGTTATTATTTTCACGAGATAAACCTCGTATTTATTTTCTAATGATATACGTCAAATAAATCGTTGTGTATCGAGTAATTGATATCACGGTATGATTAAAAGAGCAGCGTGCTCATTCGAGAGATTACTTTGACCCTCGGTCAAAGGATACGAAGTAATAAAGCATGCGTAACTTTCGAAAGAACTTTATCCGAGGTATCGCTCGTAGATGTCCTCGATAAAGTGGAACGTCGAGTTCTGCGAGCGATTTTTCTCAATGTTTTAAATTCGCTCCGAATAATTTCGGTGTGCCGGGTATATCAATTCCATCACCTCCGATCGCGTGGCATCGCTTTATCGAATGATCCCAAATGAGGTCCACGCGCGTAGCGGGTTCGCGATCAAAGATCAAAGGTACGTATATACATAGAGTCGGGAGAGTTACGAGCTCGTGCGATTCGCGGTGCTGGCGTGACACAGTCGTTCGTTGACCGTCCCGAGACGCGCTGCTATTTCATCCTCTCTCTTTATCTCTCGATCCGTCTCTCTTCTTTCTCCCTTTTACCCTATATTATCAATTATCCGTCTACTCTTACGCGTCGTATTACGCACTCGCGCGCGAGCGAAAGAAACGTGCGCCCCGGGTAGCGAGCACGCGTACGCACGCGCGTACTCACACCCACACACCATTCTTGACCCTTGAATCGCGCATAGTGATAATTTCCTCTCCCGCGATCGCGGTGGGAAAAGCGAGCGGCAGTCGGCTGGAAGCGACAGCGATCTCGGCAAGCAGGAAGGCGCGAAGGGGGAATCAACCGTTGCGTTGCTACTCGCAAGGTAAGCGACGGTGGTTCGATGTTGCTGTTGCTGGTCTGGTTCACCGCCAATTTGTTAGCAGGTCTTATGTTAGAATCCCGGGACTTGTCCTGTCGTCGCGCATTCTCCTTTTAATCCTCAAAAAAAAAAAAAAGAGATATTACAAATATCTAACATTATATACGTAAAATTATATAAAATAATGCGAATGTTAGACAAGAATGCTTGGTATCCTCATTGTAGCGATCTTATTGTAAAGTTGGATAAATAAGAGGGCTGGCATGACATTTCGCAATTCTGTTCATTGATAAAAATTCATCGATCGATGCTCATCGGTCGATCTCGTTCGATGTCGATTAAAATTTTCATAAAAATTAACGCACTGCTTTTATTCCCATTTTATTCGTAGAGATTGATCGCGCAGATTTCGCTGGTATCAAGCGGAAGCGCAACCATAACGTTTCCTCGAAAATTTCCTCTTAACGTCGATAACTTTCGCAACGACTCGAGTCATCCTTCGACGCGCGATTCGTCGGTTTTTTCTCCTTTCTGCATCATGTGTCAACGTTTCGCGCCACGATTCTTGAAATCAACTTTTTCCGGAGGACGCGACTCATGGAGGAATTACGTTGAACATGGTGAACCAACCGAGGTGACTCACGATCGGAAACGTTTTTATCGAAATTGTCGGTTTCGCAAATTTGACAGTTGATATTCGGTAAAATCGGCGACGATTGTATTGATCGTATTGATCATATTGATCGCTTTTATCAACGATCAGGAAAATTACGCAAACGGAAATGACATTTGATTATTTATTCATTCTTTTACGGTTTTTTTTAAATGTATGCCAAAACTATGAGATCATTAAAATTAAGATTCCATGCGTTTTTATCTGTCATCACTCTCATTATTTTACAATGTTACATATTTATAATATATAATTTATAATATATCTTTTGTTATCAAGACACGAGCGTAAATTAATGGGAAATTGAATTTGCATCTGATTTAACAAATTATATTTCTGTACATAGTAACTATGAAATAATTTTTTTACAATTCTACGCAAAAATCTAACTGTGATTAATTGTCAGAATAATATATCTCGGTTCTTTATTGCTTTCAGCAAGCACGTGGCAAATTGCAGGTAGTTTTTTTTTATCATTGTAAAAGGTAGCAAAACATACTTTTTTTGGAAAGAGAAAGAATAATCAACGTTCAATTATTTTCCTATTTTTTCAGAGATTTATTGATAAAAAAATATATTTATATTACAAATATATTTATATTTGTTTAATCTTATATAAGTAATGTCTTGGTAAATATATTTGTTTAATCTTATAATTCTTGTTATATTTTTTTTAGCGATGAATAAATTTTCATCTATTTTCTTTATGTTACTGTTATAAATGGAGAAATATTCAAGCTTATAATCGATTACTAGAATATTATTGATATTCTCTGAATATTCTTTTTATATGGAAATAATTATTTCTTTTCAAAGAGCTACGACAAAACCACCACCTTTGCCACGTCTGAATATATATATATGACAGTGTAGAACATACAATAATATGTTGATCTTTAACTAGGAATGCGAACCGCTTATTGACCCCAGTAAATACTACATCTGGTATATTAATTATTTTTTTATTTATTATTTTCGATGAATTCTGAATGATCGGTGATTTACGATCACGATTCTCTTCACGATGTCGATTTGCTGCACAACATATTCCCAAAAGATTGGTTTCTTTATATATTAAGTAAGGATATACCCGATGAAGATTATTAATGAAGCCGTCAAGCATCTTGCTCGATTGGTCGCAGCTGCAATTTGCAAGCTCGAGAATGATGCATAACGTATTCGTGTCAGACGGGACGTGGACGATCGGCTAGACGGAAACAATCCGTAAAGTAGTACATGGTGGTTTCATCATTGACCGCGCGCGAGGTTATTAATAATGTCGATGTAGCGTGAAATCTTCCCCCTCGCGTGGTCCCTCTTTCAGTTCTCTTCCGTTCTCGCGGCGATGTATTATTGACATTTTTTTTTAGATCGATGCAAATGCATAGGATTAACTTACTCATCTTAGAACTCGGCAAACGTATAATTTGCGTACAAATTCATATGATCAAAATCGATACATTGTAACTTTGCTTCGATTTAGATCAGGGATACGTACTTTACGCGATAATTTTTGATTAATATTTCCTAATTTCATTCTGATAGGGCGATTTATATTGAAGTCACGGACAATCTAAGTTAAAAATTATGATCTATTTTCAATTTATTCGTGGCCGGAAAGGGTTAATATATGACTTTATTACTCTCTATGTATGATTAATTATTTAATATATATATTTAAATTGTGAGCTGTTTTGTAAGAAACAGCTTTTTAAGTAGACGCGTTTCTGTTTAAATCGATGTCACTAATGTTATGTAACAAAAATCTGTGCAAAGAAAATACCATGAGTTTTCCCTGGAAATCTCAAAGTGTCGAATAATACTAACGATATGCTAATGTAATGATTTGTACTTATATGATTAGATATTGATAATGATTAGATATATAGTGTTTCTCTGGATCGCGAGTCTTCTCACGTGGATCGTTCTGTTATGCAAACAACAATCGGATAAGGGAGAATTTCTAACAAATTCTAAACTAAGTTTCTAAACTCGTGTATGTTCGTGCAACTTCCTTACGAACTTCGCTACGCACCTTTCGTAGTAGAAGACCACTTTTTATTTTTATTTCGTCTCTTCATTCTTCTTCTAACCGCCAAGTTGTTTTTCTAACCGGCACTTATTTATAAGAGGTCTATCTGTGGGATTGAACGCGATCTTTGTCCGGCCTTGTGTGTATCGTGATTCGATCGATCAGTAAATTAAAGTGTATATGAAATCCGAGGGATGCCTTTATTTGCCGAGCCTAACAATTGATCCAAATACATTACAACAGTTGAGTTTGCAAATTGCGTTACGTGTCGAATTACATAAATGTTTACGCCGCGCCGAGTCTCTCTCAAAGAATATTCTTTCGTTTTATCGCTGTCGCGAATCAACGCGAATAATTTGCGTTAAATGACTTAATTAATTCGTTGCGTTTTATAGTATCGCCAGTTATGTTCGCGACCATTGATACGCGCGAATATAATATAAACTTACATAACAATTCGTTGCAGAATAACTTACACTAAGAGCGTGTCTAATCATAATTGATGGAAATTGAAACGCGTAATCATTATCTTGAATAATTGTTTGATCTTTATATTAGTATAATTTTCAATTTTAACATGTATTTTAACGATTGGTTATTCATTTAATTTTGTGGTTGGAATGTTGTAAACTTATCCAACAAATAAAAAATTAACATATTTAAAGTAGATATATTCTATGTTAAAACTCATCGTCGCCCCATTTGTATGGCTTCCGTATACTACTGTGTTCTTTTTATTTACATTTAATTAATATAATTTGTAAAGCTGAAATTCTCTGAAGCTCACGTAAATAGAATAGTTTTCCCACCGTACTTTTAAGGATATTGATCATTCATCATAAATATGTACTCTCACACAGCTAGTAGTATTGATATAAATTTTAGAATTTCTTTTTACTTAATTGGTAATATAATCAATCATCTCAATGTCCAAAATTTTTGAATCGTTTATTGATTGTGCGACAAAATAAGAATGATTAAAGAATGATTAATTGACAAGGTAATGTTCTTTTAATTTGTTATTGAAAATATTTAAATGAAATTACACAGATAAAAAAAATGTTTTAATATAAATATGTTTTTTAAACATAATTTATCACTTTACTAATGCTATAGTAAAATAGATACGCCTGAGTGTTTTAATATGGGAATCTTAAGATAGTTTAGTCGTTATTTACGTTTACAGTATGGATAAACAATAATTATGTAAAAATGTAGAGCCTTGTTTTTTTCTTCATTTACATAGATAAAAATTTCATGAAATAATTATTGGTTTTTTTTTTACATTTTACGGTTATTCATACAAATATCATTTGCACAATAATGGATATATAATTAAACAATATTTTTTAACACGTCTTTCAGACTCGACTCATAATTATTCAAATATGAAAATATTCCCTAAAATACATAATTTTGTTTGCATGTATATTCACATGCATGTGTCATTTTTTAAAATATGGTGTTAGATTCAGTATTATATATAATGAATGAAAATATTGAGAAGTTGTTACAATCGTCTTACTGCTAGTCAGTCCAAAGTTTACGAACTATTCAGAATTGGCTGCGCACACACATTATCAGATAAGATAAATAGTCATCTTATACGCACATATGCGTCTATCAAATATATCAAGTCGTATAATAAAAATAAATTTTTTAAATATACATGTACATAGGAAAAATGTTGAAAAACATATGTGTATAATTTATATTTTAAAAATAATTATTTTTACAGTAAAATATTCGGAGAGTTTTGTTTTAGAAGTTACGTTTATCTTGCGCTATAAAAACGAATTAAAAAAAAAAAAAACAGTCTAATATTCTCTTGATTTAGGAAAATTAGATATTGTTGGGAATAAGTGAGTATATTCCTAAATATTCATATTTCTTGAATAGCCATATTCTTCTTACGGCTGTGTTTTGTTATGAAACGCGAGCGTTCAGGCTATCGTGTTCGATTTGGGTTAAGCTACAATCCTCAGAAGCTCGTCAATGCGGCATCGAATTACCTTGCATATATGATTGTGTCACTTACATATTGCTGTGTGACTTACATATTCCTATGTATTTGTGATGGACGTATGTGTTTGTAAATTGGGTCAATGGTTGCAAACATTCATTTTGTTAAACTAAATCGACCAAGATTGACATTCGTCAATACGTTATGTAGGAATGTGAAGATCAACATTTCTTGATTGTAAAAATGAAACAGTATACGCTTGCATTATTATGGGCATAAAAGAAAATGTGAATGAAAATTTTGATCATTTAGAGAAAAATTCATTATTAGATAAAAAAATTTAAGTAAAATCTGTGATGTAAATAAAATAATTTTATAAGGAAATAATTATCTGTGATGTAAATAAATAATTTTATAAGAAAATAATTATACATACATTAATGAGATCTTCAAGTTTGATAATTTGTAAAAATTAATGAATTGATGAAATACGCATGAAAGCACAAGTTATTTTCTTTCCAAATATCTTTAAATATTAAAACATACACAGAGATATTTGTATGTTTTTCGCTCTCTATGTACAATTTGTTTAATTATTTTATAAAATTTATAAAAGGATATACCTAGCTATGTATTTTAGCATGTATTCGTATATTCTTATATACACAGTCATGTGATTACATTATGATTGAGTATACAAACATGTTCGCTATCGAATAAAACATTCCCTGACTAATTGTAAGCTCGCGTTACATGTAAAGTACTTTGTTCTTCGAAAGAATAATACAATGACATCGCGGCATGTATACGCTACGAGGAATATCAAATTAAAATAAACAGTATTATTCATGCGTCGGCTTTAAATGTCCGATAGTTTATAAACGTTAAGTGTTAATAGTGTAATCAATCGCGACCCACCGCGAGCATTCGTCGTCGTGGTGACACGTCGCGCCGAACGAAGGTTGCCGCTACGAATGCAAGTAGTGACGCAACGCCTGGAATAATGCCAGTGTACGGGTCTTTATCGGTATACGACGTCTTTTTCTTTTGTATGCCTCTCTTCGTGGACATTCCCTCATGTAGAATTGTACTTTAGACTCGCCGATAAGAGCGACCGATAGAGCAATGATTATAAGAGAAAAAAAAAAGACGTAAAGGCACGCAAGAATGGCACCTTAAAAAATTTCTTATTGTGCAGGAATCTGATTAGTCAATGCTTCGCAATTATAATTTTGTTCATCAGACGTTAATTTGATTACGACGCAAATTGATGATGACGCATTGTTATAATTAATTTGTGGCAAGCATATACGCGCATTTCTCGTATCTTATATCAACAGTTCTTTTCAAGCGTTTTACAAATACATTTGATTAATATCTTTTTTGTTTATTTTTCAAGGAGGCAAATGAAGCGTAGCTGCGCAATTTTTAAGGCCACGATACGTTCAAAGATATGGCAGATATTTAATATAAATATATTTAATATTCAGATTCTTGTTTGTATCTCTTGAGAAATATATTTAAGGGGACATACCCGTTTGAATCGAAAAATGAGTACATTTTCTAGATTTTTTCGCAGCACAACGATTTGATAAAAACCTTTTTTTTTTATGATATTAATAAAATATTATTAAATACTTAAAAAAAATTTTCTGCTTAAAAAATATTTTTTTTTAAAGTTATGCGAATATTTGCAGAGCTCCTCCAATTTTAGGTGGTTGCATGGCGTGCATAAAAACGTTCGTTTATCATATCTGAAAGCAAAAATACAAGTTTTTTTTTTTATTGGACATATTAATAGCTATCTGTTATCCAAGCGTTTTCTCAAAATTTAAAAAAATAAAAAAAATGACATGTTGAAAAAGTTCCGTTTTTTTAAAAAAAAGATCCATCTTTTTTTGTTTATAACAAAAAATAGGGAATCGGATTTAAAAAAGATTTCGTTAATAAATGCGGAATCTTATTAGGAACTCGCACGCAAAAGTTAAAGTCAATCCATCAAACATAAATATAAATCTGCAAATATTCGCATAACTTCAAAAAAAAAATTTGTTTTAAGTTGAGAATTTTTATTTAAATAATTTTTATTTAATAATATTGTATTAATATTGTAAAAAAATGAAAAGTTTTTATCAAGTCGTTGCGCTGCTAAAAAATCTAGAAAATGTACTCATTTTTCGAGAGTTTAAACGGGTATGCCTTCTTAATGAAGAAATATATTAGAATTAATTATGTATGTGAAAAATGTTTATTTCTGATTATCAAGATATATCACTACGGAAGAAATTGATATATTTGATACATGTTGTTCATATAATAGAGTTTTTTGTACCACCAATCAATATTTCTGGATAGTTATCTACGTCAAGGAATAGCTGCGAACTATGAATCTTGAGTCTTGTAAAACAGATTGAGCAAGGTTCACATTTCTATATTATTTACGTATAACGTTTTCTTTATGTTTATTCAGTGTTATTCGATACGGCAATATAAAAACATTGGTGAGAACAAAGTCTGAAATATCATATTGCAGAAAAGACTTGTTGTTTTACACTTGTTTACATATTTCATCACATTATTTTTCGTATTTCATCGTCGATACGATATTTTTCATTTTGTTGACATTTGTCTTTGAATAAAAAGGCACACGCGAAACAAGAAAATTATAAATTTGTTTATTCATAAGGACAATCGGTTGCTTCTCGCGCTTTCGTAACAAAGGTCAAAATTTAAATTGATTGAATTTAGGTTGATCGATCGAGCATTGATGCGATTAGCGCAGAAAAAAATCACATCTGAACTTCATATATAGACTCTTATCCCCTAAATAAAGTCGATAACAATAGCGCGAAACTTATTGCTAGATCGCGAAAACTCTCTATCTCCGTCGAATAACGGCCTGCGCTCGCGTTCGCGTTCCCATTGCATGCAATGCGTTCTGTCATGGATTGACGCGTGTACGCGCATATCGGGGTCAAAGTGCACTTGACCGTGTCAGTTGCCGCTTGGTTAACGCGATCATAAGGACCGCGACGAGCAAATTGCGGACAACATTGGGGAATTTTTGCTTTCTCAAATAGACCGACGCGATGATTTTGTAATGCTGGAAAATCCATCGTCGGGATCGATCTCCATTTTCTTTAAGGACGGGAGAGGTCTTTATAAAATACTGCATACTTACGAGGCATTCAGATATGTATATGCAATCTATAGTCGACATTTCATTGATTTATATACAACTTCTCTGTTGGCGTCATTCGTATGTCGCAATCATGTTTTTTTTACAGAATATATGTATATCAGTTATTATTTATGTGCATCGTATTTAGAGTTTTTTTGATACATATACAGGACTTTGGCACATATTATGACGCAATCAAACCTGCTTGTTATATGAATTGTGTTACATAAATATATTATCCCACGCTTGAGAGGAGATAAGGTATTTTTAATCAGCAAAGATTCAAGCAAGCAAGAATGCGCGATATTATTGCGTGCTGTAACATGGATATGACAATTATTTATATAAGATCTCATTACTATAAAGAATGAAGTAATGTATTTTTCATCATATACGAGGATAATCTTGTGCAAACTCTGGCTTGTCTAGTAATCGAAAACCAGAAAATGCATTTTTTCAATTTTGTTTTAATATACGGAAATTCTCGATGGATGTATCGTCGTACACACGAGTAATACGCCATATAAAATTTAAAGAAAATATTAACATTTGAAGGAATAAAATACATTTTTCGAAACATTTGTGTGTAGGCAAGAGATCGCGCGTCTCTTCGCGGAAAGATCTTAACCGGGGGAAGATTCTTACTCCTTAGTGATCGACGAGTGCGTCGATAACGCTACGATTGTCGTGGATGAAAAGGTAGGGAAGTGATTCCCGGCTTCCTCGATATATCTGCGAGTGACGATCTCGAGGATCTTCACCGCCAAAGTCGAGTGCCATTTTGACGACGAGAAACATGCTTGAATGCACCGCCCCCGCATGCAATCCCGGAGTTGTTGACTAACTTGTATCGATCTTGGGAATGGTTTTTCTTGCAGTGTGTCAATTAATCCGCATCACAGAGAGAGGCACCCAGGCGATAAAGAGTGTCGATCTTGGAATTAGGGGCGACCGGATATATCGCCGCCACCATGATCGTGGACGATAAACAGTGAGTCGGTATAGCGTATAAACGCGTACGGGAAATGCCGTAGCTCGTAGATAAATGAGCTTGCACCACTAAAACGTCGCATCTCCCTCCGCATGAGTTTTTTCTTTGCTGGATTTTTTCACTATCGCTTTACGAGATTTCTCGCCCTCGATCAGCGCGCGATGTCAAATTCGAAGTGCGCTGTACATTAAAAATCAGAAGGGACTTTCCAAAATATATCCGACATATAAATTGAGTCCTTTAATTTATTTTATCTCACTGCACGATATTTATTCAGTCATTTTCTACATGTTGCAATTTTATTTATTTACGATATCTAAAAATGCATTTACAGCCGCGAATATATCCATCTTCTCTTTATACTTTATTTTTAATTCTCCCTTGCATCGTCGCAATGATACGTTTCGCAAGAATCAGTTGAATAGTTGTTGTATGTGTATGTATTAGCTGTTTCTCTGTCGCTTCGATTTATATTTATATATCTCTGTCTCTTATTTCTAGCACGATACTTTTATTTTCGACGTTACTAGCATGCGATGCGAATCAGAGTTAGATATATTGTACGATAGTATATTTTATCGAGCACTTCATCCAAATTGATAAAATAATTTTAATCTCTTGCAAATTGAGTATATCATATGTTACACGGATCTCACGGAAATCAAGTTGAGAATCACGTTGCTACATACAGCATTGAACAGGAAATACGTTTTGTGAATACATATGCCTTTTTTATTTCTACTCTAAAAAAAATATTAACCAGCTATCAAAGATGATAGTGAATACGAAGAAGTTGAGTAATCGATATTATCACAAAAAAAAAAAAACGTTTGTGATCTTTTCTTTGGAATTATTTTATACAATTTTTATTTGCGACAGGATTTTTTTCAATAATGACTATTGAACAATTTTTTTCGATAATGACGCTTGAGTACAAATAAATCTTAATTTTGCAACCATTTACGTAAAAAATGAATGATTTTTTTATGTAGTTTGTAGATTTTATTTATGATTGCATTTCTCTTATGTCAAAACCTTGGATTTTTTATGATGATTTTTTACGTGCGCACGTGCTTGAAAATTAGAATCTATACTAGAAAAAATATGTGAAAGTATGTTGATCTATATCAAGTTTACATACAACATATATTACAATACAAGGTATAGATTTAGTTCACATATTGATTTACGTTCAAGGAAATAGCTAAGGTATGATATTTATTTTTAATAACTTCTCTCTCTGTGTCACACTTTCTCTTTCTTCCTCTCTCTTCTTTTTGTATAAATTTATAATCAATGTGCAATTTATAAGTAACCGCGCATTGGTTAGATCGGTAGTAAGACTCTTCTAACTTTAACGCTGTTGCTGCGTAAACTTTTCCATCCGAATGTCGCGAAAGTAGATAATAGAATAAAATAGAAATAATGATTTCTTAATTTCGCAGGTGAGTAATTAATATTTTATGGTATATTGATTTCTCATTATAACAAGAGATGACTAATGTGCTTTTACTATTGTACGTTTTGCCATTTTGTTCTTAGGATATTTTCACTTTATTCCATTTTATTATGTTTTTCTTGAATACGAAATTGCTTTATTACATTTAATATATTCATAGATAAAATTTGTAATTAGTTTAGTTAGTTTTTTTTTCATACGTTTTCTCTAAATATGTCTTCCAATCAGTTGCATCGTAAGAGAAATAAAAAGTTACCGCGGTAATCATAATTCCTGTTTGTTTTATCGGATTGCGAGAAAATTATTTCTTGATCGCAAGAGGAAAATTTTTATTTGGCTGGAATTTTACCGCGCGGCAAATCGTTGAAAAGATAATCATAAATATATATACAAACACAGATAAAAAAAGATGGCATTTAGCCGTGAGATATTATTGCACATCTGTAGTTTCCCGTCGTCCCCTTTGGATGTTCCGCCTTACGCACGTTGAAGACTCCTTAGACATGCATGTCGGCACAGATAAGACTCCGAAAGACTCGTTGGCTCTATTCGTTCGACGCGTGAACTCGCGACGTCCAAAGTCCGCGACGATATTGAAATCTTGATTGCGTGTTTTCTTCTTGTCGTCTTCTTTCCCAATACATACTTCGATCTTAATCATTATACAGGGTAGTATAAAATTATTAAGTATGTAATTATAATTTAATCATAAATTCTATAATAAATTTATCATATAGTATTACCAGAAAGTAAGAATTTGTCTAACATCTTTCTACATATTAAGATATGTTCGAGACGCTTATTATTTTACTTAATATATTGATAAGGCTAAAAATATAATTTTCAGTAAAATATTTGCATTAACAATATATTATTTAGAATATAAACGTAAAAAATTAGTATGGTAAAGCAATATAAATATATATTAACGCACATTGTGATAATAAAATAACTGCATTAAAATTAATTTTACTTTAAAATCATGTTTTTTGTCTATACAAATAATTTTGTTTTTTGACGAAAAAATAAAATTTGATTTATTTGAGTTATTTTTTATATACGTTCGACGCTTATAATTTCTATAAAAGACGCGACAGACCTTCGTCTATTTGCCATTCGAAGTCGAACCGTAGAAAAACTCAATGTGTATATAATCACAATTAGTGACATAACTTGTGTTTATTTGATTTATATAGTACTCATACCGAGTGTGTGCGATCACAAGTGGCATGATACTGTCTAGTCGACACATACGATTAATAGCAAACAGAATTGAAAGAAACTCGATTAATAATTGTAGTGTAGCATACAACATGGCTACTGACGTAACTGCACTTTGCATAAGTGCGATGTAAATTTCAGGGATGATCGGTATATCGCGCAAATACTAGATGTAGTGCGATCAGAATAATAAAGTGAAAAGGATCAACGGAATCTATATGCGAGTCCACTGATTTAAATTTACTTCAGCGTAAAATAGTATTTTATCACAACTGTGACTCGATATGAAATTTTGATTAAAACTTGCTTGATATAATATTCTTTTCTTTTTCTTTCTTTTTTCATATAATATAATAAAAGTAATTCGCGGTCTCCTTTAATATCTGTATATTATAAGGCAATTATTCGCAACGTTAATATAAATTTAGCGTAGTTATATAAATTGTTTGATAAATTAAGAAAGATTAAGAGTTATATAAATTTTTGTGTAATTTCTTTCTGCTAAAATATCATCTCTTGTAGCGCACATAAAAATCTTTTTTATATGTTAATGGGCATATTAATGTTTAAACGTAATATCAAGATATTTTACATCATCAAGAATACATTAATCTCGAAATACATGAAATATTTCCTCTTCACTCGGCAGACTGAAAATCGATCGTCAATGTATTCAATTATAAACAAGATATAACGCGTCAAACAAGATATACAGTTGAATGGTTTTTAATTTCGATTAAATGGAAATATCGTTTTTTATTGGTATATAAAAAAGCAACAGTACAGTGTTCTAGTACTTCGAAGAGAGATTTACTCGAGAAATTGAACTAATGTTGATTTAATTAAATCACACCTTCCTAGTTAAGTTTTTCATTAATTAAGAAGATAAATTTCTTCGATGATTTGTTATTTTTATCACTTTATCAATCTTATTGTATGGACATATTGTGTGTATCTACTTATGTAAGAACTCTTCCTTCTTTCGCGCACCCAGCATGATAAATATTGCATCTATTTAGCTATTCTATGTAAGATAGATAAAAAGCGCCAATTGTTTAACAAAAATCTCCAAAGATATTAATCCCGTTGATATTAATTATCGCTTATCGGTCTGGCATATATCATATTATTTTATTGTTGATATGAATTATAATATATTTGCACGATGCATGACTCCGACCGATAGTCTTTACTCTATTTATGCTTCGATACTGCACATGTAGCGCGTGCAGATAAAAACTTGCCTGATATAAATAATCGAAGGATATATTGCACCCGATAAGAGAATTTCGTGAGAATATAGATAACTAATGCTCGAACTCGCTCTTTCTGCAAGAATTACAGAGTATTGCGACCGAATATAAATTATAAAATTTACGTTATACATGCTTTCTCTTTTTTTAAGAGATCCGAAAATGAAAAGAGTCTATTTGTTAGTCTACTTATTAATCGCAGATTTTCGCACTTGTTATCATCTTTTTGCGTTCAATTTTTACAAACGCTAAATATTAACGTTTGAGAGACATTAACATAAAAATATCTAAGTAGAAATATTTAAATGGTTCTTTTTTATACATCAGGGAAATGGAAAGCTTCTGGATCAGCAGCGCGATCCACGCGATCAAGGCTCTATCGTATGTGTACGACTTGTTGACGTTCCCCGTGTATCTCATACTTCAGCGACCTTGGGAGAAGCGCAAGGCCTCTAGGAGGATCAAGGCTCGTCCGATCTCCAAGGATGATTATCAGGTTACTTACAGAAGCGTTGACTCCCCAGGGTCGATGCACATCGTGCTTGAACGTGAAAAGGTCGACACTTTGGAAAAAGCGCTTCTTTGGGTTGTCAAAATGCATGGTGACAAGAGGTGTCTTGGCACCAGGCAAATCTTGGCGGAGGAGGATGAGCCTCAACCTAACGGTAGAATCTTCAAGAAGGTGAGACACTCGGATGAAAAAGCGGAAGAATAATTTTAACTTTTTTTATAGAAAGTTTTTTTCATTTCTTGTCTACTATGACTATAATAAGACATTAAGATTTTATATAAGATTTTACTTAAGAAGAAATCAATAAAAGAGGAACTCTTGGAACAAATCAATTATATGTGTCATTACTGGTGCTTGATTAATAACATCAGCGTTGAAGGGAAGCTAATTCTGTATCGTGAAATTCCATTTGTTTTGTAGTATAAAATGGGAGAGTACAAATGGAAGTCTTTCAACGAGGTCGACAGGTTGGCCGTTTCCTTTGGCCGAGGTTTGATGGAGCTGGGTATGAAGCCACGCAAGAATGTTGTTATCTTCGCTGAGACAAGAGCGGAATGGATGATTGCTGCACACGCGTGTTTTAAGCAAAATTTCACGGTGGTGACAATTTATGCGACCTTGGGTGACGAAGCCATCGCTCACGGTATTAACGAAACCGAGGTGGACACTGTCATTACCAGTCATGATCTTTTGCCAAAGTTCAAGCGGTTACTGGAGATGGTGCCGCAGATCAAGACGATTATTTACATGGAGGATCAACTTAAATCAACTGAAACCAAAGGCTACAAGGTAGATAGATTTTATAAAACGTTAAATAAAAATTAGCATTTAAATGAATTTACGCGTTAAATTATGAATATAAAAAGTTTCAATTTGTCACTTTCTTTCTAAACAGTGATATAATAGTGTCAACGCCAGAATAGCACCATTTGCGAAAAATATTATTAATTCAAATAATTAATTATTCAAATGCACCATTCGAAAATGTACCGGATCGAACGGTAATATTTCATTCTGAAAGTTTGTATTCGCCTAATGGCTATGGCATTGACTATGATTGACTATCATTATGTCATTTACGTTTTACGTAATCATCGATAATATATACTACCATTTATGACTAGTGCGACTTATAACGTTATTTTCCTATTTTTTTCTCTTTCTTTTAAATATTCTTTATCTTTGTTTTTATATTTTAGGATGGAGTGCGGCTGGTACCCTTCTCCGAGGTCGTCAAAATGGGCAACGATTCGAACTTGAGCGGTAATTCGCCAAAAGGCGATGACACGGCCATAATTATGTACACGTCGGGTTCGACCGGAGTACCTAAAGGCGTGATTCTCTCTCATAAAAATATCATAAGCACTCTGAAAGCGTTCTGCGATGCGGTACAGATCAGATCGGACGACGTTTTTCTCGGTTTCTTGCCATTGGCTCACGTCTTTGAACTTTTGGCCGAGAGCGTATGTCTTCTGAACGGAGTACCCATTGGTTATAGTTCGCCGCTTACACTGATTGACTCGAGTAGCAAAATTCAGAGGGGATCAAAGGGTGATGCCTCCGTCCTACATCCAACTTGTTTAACTGCAGTACCGGTGAGTATGTTTGCACATTTTTATTATTTCCATTTATTTATCTGCAGCTTTTTATCTTATTTTGATATAAGTTTTACAAGTACGCAAAAAGAATGCTGACCAAACACAGACACAATATATATTGTGATAAATATAAAATTGTTTTAGCTTATTCTCGATCGCATCTCCAAAGGAATAAACGACAAAGTGAAGAAGTCTGGTCCGTTTAGGCAAGCCATCTTCAATTTTGCGTACGAATATAAGCTGAAGTGGACAAAGCGGGGCTATGAAACACCTCTCTTCGACAAGTATATTTTTGGAGCTGCGAAGCAAGTGCTCGGTGGTCACATTAGGCTTGTTCTTAGCGGAGGCGCTCCGCTCAGTCCAGACACTCATAATCAAGTGAAACTCTGTCTGTGCGTCACCGTAACTCAAGGATATGGTCTCACGGAAACGACTTCTTGCGCAACTGTTATGAATAGTACGTATCCTCAGCCTCTCAAGTATCAAAAAACGTATTCGTGCATCCTTTATTTTTATTCTTTATCCTTCCTTTTCAGTGCATGATAGAACTACCGGCAGAGTTGGAGCACCGACCACAGTTTGCGACATCCGTTTGGAGAATTGGGAAGAAGCCGGTTATCGAGTTACAGATCATCCGCATCCCAGAGGAGAAATTGTGATCGGTGGCGACATTGTTTCCGCGGGTTACTATAAACTGCCCGATAAAACGAAGGAGGACTTCTTCCAAGAAGACGGCAAACAATGGTTTCGAACGGGCGACATCGGCGAGTTTTATCCGGATGGTTCTATCAAGATTATCGGTATGTCGCGAAAGCTATGTTGCAGCACAAAATTTTTTCATTTCTGTAGGGCGATTTTTACATATATTAATTACTATTTCTATATTTCCTGATAATGGATATCTTACAGACCGGAAAAAGGATCTGGTTAAACTACAACTCGGTGAATACGTTTCCTTGGGTAAAGTAGAGTCCGAATTGAAGACCTGTCCCGTTGTGGAAAACATTTGCGTCTACGGAGATGCGAATAAAGCATATACTGTGGCGCTAGTCGTACCTAACCAACAATATTTGGAAGAAATCGCCACAAATCATGGCATAACCGGAAAGAGTCTTGAGGAACTCTGCAACGATCCACGAATCGAGAAAGCGGTACTTCAAGAACTTGTTGAGCAAGCGAAGAAATGTAAGTTTCTATTTATTTATTATCATTATTCTCGCGCTCTCTATTATCAGTAGTTTATTATCGCTGAACGAAACGTTGTCACTGTTTGCAGGTAAGCTCCAGACATTCGAAATACCCGGCGCAGTAAAACTGTGCGCGGAACAATGGTCTCCCGACATGGGTTTGGTAACCGCTGCATTTAAACTCAAGAGGAAAGCGGTTCAAGACCGCTATCAACACGAAATTAACAGAATGTATGCCTCGTGATGTTCCGCCATAGGGTGCACCAAGTGCTGCGCGTAATAATGGGGATCTAAACCTAAGAAAATCACCTTGTCCACAGTAGACGGTACCTCGATAATCCTCAGATACATATAAAAAGGTATGTCGTAAGATCACGTCACATGCCGATTACGCGATAAGTGGCAGGCTCATGGTGTTCGTGCGTGCAATCGTAGAGAATTCCGATCCATCGACATTTGGTAGATCAGTTATTGTCGTTGATTTGGTACAATGGAACCAAGAAAGTCGTTTGGAATGCGCCGAGATCTTTCGATCCGAAAATGAAAGTATCATCTCTCGCATTTCTTCGTTGGGTCTTCCGACAAATGTGTGACAAATTTTTCGCAACTTTTCATTGATATCGATTGTCATGCAAGTTGAATATTCGACTTTGAGTGGCGGAAATCAATCCAAAGGCGATAGAATTTTGTACCATCAGGTATCAATTACGTGCGCGTTTTATCGAGGACAGATCGACACTATTAAGTCATATTGTAGCGATGTTGATGAAAAACAAATAAATGCTGCAAGATGACTGTTTTGTTAGGAAAATCACCGTCGTCTCCTATTCCCTTTGCCTTGATATTGATTATTTTTAATTATCTCAATCGATTCGTTGTGCCTATATCGCAGTAGTGCACCTAATTGTTAGTATGTTAATGGGCCAGTGATAATATTTTTGCGAGCGAGCTAATTTGCATAAGTTCACAACTCGTACGGTGTACTTATTTTAAGTATTATTCAAAATCGTCGAGTTCGATCTTGGAAATGTATATTTTGGAAGGGATCTTCTCCAAGTGCTACTTTGTTTTGCGAGTGGTATGGCGTATGTATATATAGAGGAGAAATGAACAAATGAGGCTGTTTTTATGTTTGGCAAGTGTTGATGTAAACTTCAAGAGGTAATTTCAATATAATATATTATGTAAATTAAATTTTCCTCTATCTTATACTACTTTAACATATTATGCTCCGTCTTATACTGCCTGTGTATAATACGTCGACGTATTCTGGCTACTTTTTGAAATATTAATTCAAATATCACAATACTTTTTTCAGCAACAGGATTGTATTTTTGTGTATGTATGTATGTACGAATATATGTATGTAAGTGTGTGTCTGATTGTTTCATTACTATATGCTTGCATGCATATATGTTCATAAGAAAGAGATTAGAAAATACGTACGTGAGCTTATGAAAAAATCATGTTTAAAATTTTTTATTTTTAATCTCCCAATCTGCGCATGTCTCTGGCGGTTCGAATCGTACATTGTATATATATGCTGTGTATATATGTGTGTGCGCATGCTGTTTATATATATTCAAATATCTTAAAATATATCTATATAAATATTTTATTATCTAATTTATAAAAATGTGAAATACTTTTCTCGGAATATTATCTTGACATTATAATTAAATTTAATTAATATAATTGTTTAGTATAGTTTATTCGCACGTTCCCGCATATTCTCTCGACGAATGCGAACCGACAGAGAAATTAGCGCATCGTCCAAGAAAGTTGATACCATATATAAGATCCGATTGCGTAATACATGTAGCATTTAAGTTAATATGTGCGTTCAACATACAGACAGAAGCTTAATGCGTTTTTCGTATATTTTTTATTCCGTCTTACGGCGGGAGCTACAGTCAGTAGTATAATGGAATAAGGGCACGAAACGATAGGGGCTAATAAGAAGAGCCAATTAAAGGCAGCTCGCACACAATATACTCTTTTGTTTCATTCACCACGAGAGTTCCTGCGATAGTTAAGTGTACGAGAATTGGTACTAATCTCTTATTCGTTATTAAGCGTTGTACATTACTTAGATAGACATGGTCAATTGTCAGGTGTTATGGCATCACCAAAATATATATAATTATTATATTAATATTATTGGTAGCATTATTATTACTATCATTTGGAAATAATGATTTACAAAATAAATGTACAAAGCTGTATATCACACTGACTTGAAAATGTCTTCGTTACGTATTTCTTTCACTATCACATATTCCATTTCCAGACATATATAAGATATATTTGTTTGATAAATTCTCCCATGAAAATTCCTCTAATAATTAAAAATTAACCAACTTTTGAATAAAGTTTTCTGTATTCTGAATGTCACAGGATGACAGAGTAATTTAAAGTTATTTAATTTTTTGATGATGATTTTTCTTTGATTAATGATTTTTAAAAGGCGTTTTTACTATCCAATATACATTCAATTTAATAAATTGAAGGATAAGGAAGCGTGGTAGAAAAATTTGGTACGATATAACAGTTTATTCATTACAAATGCACAAATGAAGAAATAGTACGTCATTAATACATATAGCGATCTATCAAGTTGGTCATTTGCAGATGTAATATCGCACGGCATTTCTTCTACTTTCGATAGAAATACGAACTATCAAGTGTATACAATCGTACGTACGCACAAAATGCCGCGCGCGTTAAATACAATAATACTATATTTAAAATATGTAAAATAAGCGCTGTGTGTGTGCGCTTTGCAGGTGTGTGGAGCTCTCTTTTTTTCTCCAACAATTATAAAATACATATGTCTAAAGTTCACGATAATGGATTTTACGCGCGAGGAACATTCATGTGCAAGATTTACCGATCGTGTTAAGCCTCTTCAACACGGACAGTCCATTGGAATTAATTAATAATTCTGCCAGTAACGACCGGGTCTTTTTCATTATCTCGATTGATACAAATCGAATTACAGAAACTATTTGTTATTCACACAGTTACACGCGGATATTATAACGATTATATAAATGCAAATTTTTAATTATTTGAGTAGATATGCAATAATGAAGATTAAAAATATTTACTCCTGAATAAATTAACTCTTGATGAGTTAAATAAACTTTTTTTCTAATCCATTTCGCGGATTAGAATATATAATTATAATATAACTCTACAAGAATAATTTACCATTGAGATAAAAATTCACATTATAATGATATTTACATCGGCTGTAAATACATATATTGGACGAGAAAACGAGTGTCAATAATCACGTCTCTTTTTTTGATATCTGAAGGCGAATAAACCGTGCATTGACCATCGTATATTTTAAAAAATAAGACAGAGATAATATACGTTATGTGTGTGAGTGCGTGTGAAGTTTATTCCCATTTTTATCGTTTCATTGTCGATTGACAATCGGCCGCTTCGCATTTATACCAGATCTCTCTAACGCGTTATCTACACAATATTTTTTTTATTCACGTCATAACAATATATATAACTTTCTAACACATAAAGTTCCTCGAAGCTACATATATTGACCACGGTGGTCTCTTTTTCGAATCGTAATATGTTTATATATTTCTCTTCTATGAGAAACATTTTCGCAACGGCATATGGCAAATTTAAAATTAGTTTTTATAGAGGGGGGCAGACAGTTATCATTCGTCGTAAACTTTTAGTTTTCAACAAATATTTTTATATAATTACGTAAAATTTCTCGATCTTTGAAGAACAAGGCTTCGGAAAAATTTTCTGCTCTAATAACAAATATCCCCATTATTCTATATATAATAGTTTCTCTAGACGTCGATTTAGATCGAAGCTCGAGTATAATCTTAGTTCAGAAATATATTCTAGAATTTGGTCAATTCTTACACGTTATACTGAATGAATCGTAGCCTCGAGATTACGTAGCTAAAGTACTCCATTAATTACGTACATGCACTGATGAAGTCCAAGTTATCTCTAGTGAGAGTATACATCTACGCTATAGAAAAAGTCGTTTGGACATATCCGGCGTTCGTGCAAAAAAGAAACCCGTCTACAGTAAAAATTACGTGTTTAAAGTTGTTCTCAATTCTCGACGCCTCTTATTAGGTGTAAAAATGTTCGTAAAACTTTACATTTTCACTTAATTCATTGCGTTAACAAACGCAACTTGCACTTTGGAAATTTGTTGTCGAAAATTACGTCTTCCTTAATATCACGTTAGATATTTTATAGCGTTTTGTCGAAGAAACGAGAATCTTTATTTATGTGCACTCAAGTATTACAATTTTATTTCAAAGTCGATTTACGATTTAAAAGATGGTATTTGCACATCTTAATCTGTATGCGTGTGTCATTCATTTTTTTCAAATAATTAAAACATTTCTTTTTTCTGACTTTAATATTTCATATTTTCTCTCCTTTTGGATATATTCTAACAATAAGGATTTTAAAAAACTATATGAAAGGACAGCGCGGTTGAAACTGATTTAGAGCTTATTTGTAAATATACGTTTTTATAGAAAACATATTTCACGGAAATGCTATAGAAAGTATCGTCAGTCGCACAAGAGTTCCAATAATATGAAGTGCTATCTAAGTATCGATCGAAGCAGGAAAGCGTATATGAGAACGATTTCTGAAGGAGTTAAGCGATTTTCTCAAGTCACCGCAAATAAAAAGCGAAAAAACGCGAGATAGAAACTTTATCGTAACGTAATAATGTTACGATATAAATGGATATCGAAACGCGAAAAGCACATATAACAAAATTAATTATAATAAATGGATTAACACGAAAGAATTATCTGACCTAATATAAACTTTAGAACGCTTGCGCTTTAAAAAGAACGTAAAACTTATATTTAAAGCTGTATTTGTGAAAAAAATGAAGATTTTTTTTGATAATTTTTATCTTTTCGAATGAGATTTGAAGCTTTGGCTTGTAATTTATGGCATGATAAAGGATCAAATTGTGCGATTCGTAAACGCTCGTGATACGTAATAGTCGTAAATCATTGCAGTTTTATTCGAAGAGAAAATTTTCTACTTGAGAGCACTCTGATGAGACACTTTTATTTGTCCCAAGCTAAAGTACTGGATGAATAAATGAAGTACTAAATGAAATCGACATTCCGGGCAATAGCATACGCATTCGTGATTAGAACGGCTATATAACACAATTGCTTAAAAGGCCTTAAATATACTACAAATATTGCATAAAATATATTATATATTAATTATTAAATTCATTCAATGTGAAAAATACGATATTCAAATTCATATGTATTTTTATAGGTTTTCCGAAAAATATTAATCATGTGATAAAAATATCTGAATTAAAAAGGAATCAATAAAACTATCGTAAAAATCCAAAGTGTATTTTATAAAGTTGCAATGATGATCTCCGTAATGTAGTGAAACTGTATTTTTCAAAATTTAGAATTGTGTAATTCTACAGTCACTGAATTTTTTTCGATCTCATTTTAATTCCATTTTGGTTATTTTAATTCTCGCTAGCGGGCATTTGTAAAAAATTGAGATCTTTTTTCACAAAATGAAGAATACATATTTATAAAGCCAATTTATTTTTCTGCTCGACATTTAAATTTCAAAAAATACGTATATGTTTGCATAAATATCATTTGTTTCGGCAGTTAAACTGCCTAGCACATAATTGTCCTTTATCTGTACAGTGCGCTTTAATTAGCTAGTAATGTGTTGTGGTTTAAAAACACTGTTTTGATATTGATGTTGGGAGACTCTTTCTTAGAATACGTATAGATGTGAATGAGAATAATAGTCCATCGTCTACACACGCTTATACATACATCACACTACTATATAGATACAAAGCTCGGATACGTTTAAAATAAATCACAATTTATTGAACATCAGAGTATTACTACTTACAGTGTTTTTCTTGAATAGTCGAGAATAATTGAATAGTCTATTATGTATTGCAGATCCATGTTGTTCTCTGTTTAGATAGAAGCATTCATTAAACTTTTAAGTCTTTCAACAACGACAATTTTCCCCTTTCTCGAAAATCTTTATTTCTTGCCAGTGAACGTAATGGTACGAAATGTATCCTCTCTTTCAGGAAAAGACCAGGCTGCAATTCCATAACGCGCGATATCAGCTGAGTGTGCATTGCGCGAACGAGATACCGAATGTATTCCGCAAAGAGGATAAAAACAGAATGATAAAACATTACATTCACACAAAGAAGAACCGATATTCCTTTATAAATCAGTATATATCTCCTTCTCTAGAGTTCTATAATGCGCGCGAGATATATTCTTTCTCCATTTTGTAATTTTGATTCATCTAATCTCGATTATAAAATATTTTCAAACTTTAATTATGAAAAAAAAATTTTTTTTTTGTTTTAATTGGTTTTTTTTTTTTTTTTTTAGAGGAGGAGATATAAACGAAAATTTCCAATTTTGATGCATGTAAACCTATTTTCATACTGTATTTAATGTAGCATTATACTTTGCATCCGTTTTCTATTCGTATATTCTATGACTTTCGTATGACTTCCAGAGGTTTTTCCTCTGTAACAGAGTATACAAGAATTCAAACGGTGATGTAGTAAGCCCGCGGCTTGCCTCTTGACGAGGTTGGACTGAATAGTATTCCTGGTGTCGTCGGGTTGAAAGACCAGGATGCCCATGAAGGCGGCGGAAACATACGTCAGGACGTGTAGTATCCTTCGTGCCGCTTACGACACTTTTCACGGGCGATGTAGCACAACGCTATGGTGATCAGGATCGCTATGGTGATCCCCATACCTATGCTGATCCAGATGATCTCCTCATTTATGCCACTGTAGCCTTTTCCTAGAACGACACACATTTATCTTGCATTTGTATTATACTTTTTTTTTTACATGCTTTTACACTACATATTTTGATGTCATTCAAATGGTATTCTTTCTTAACGAATAGGAAACTTTTAGACAAGTCTTTTTACGTGTTATACGGCGTAAAATTTTGTGGCATTCGTAAAAAGAATGAATTTTAGGAATATTATTATTATGAGAAAAACATTATATTGGTATCTTCATAAAATTAGAAGGATAATAATGCTTTTATAATAATATTTTACAATAATATTTTTTTATCATAATACGAAATTGTATACTTAAAAAAAGCTTTAAAGCTTGATTGGCATGCAAAAAAACATGGTTTACGAAGACTTTTTTCCTAAAGCCCATATATTGTTTCCATTTTCATAGTCATGCTGTGCCTGAGTCGGATGTTCCTAAGCTATCTTCATAACTTGTCGCTCTATGAAACCTAATTTTTCCTCTGTCATAACAAGTAAGCCTCTTTTATTTTAAAATGAATTTGTAGAAGATTGATTGAGAAAGATATTCATATATGAGCTTGTGAAAGATCGATTTAGGAAGATTTAGGAAGCGTAGCATAAGCTTCTTCAATCTGATCTCAAGATCTCCCTATATACAAGTTCATCTTAAACTTGAGTTATGCTACTGCCCACGTAGAATCGTTTCTCGATGATTTCATAATAATAAATAATGCCGCGTTTTGAGTCAAATTTCATAAAGCGAAAATGTCACACTTGTTTCAGCTGCAATAATTTTATTTTATGTTAAATGATTTGAATTTTATATTTGTAAATCTTATCGTTTAAACGAGCAATTTGTGCGCTTTGATGTTTTAAATCTCTACAAACATCGGTGAGTCATGTCGAGGTAAAATTCAAAGCAAATGTTTGGAGAAAATTCAATCGTTAAGTAAATGCTGAAGATCAAGGTAAAATATAAAATTTTATTTGTAAATTATGAGTGAAAGAGAGAAAGAGAGCAGCATCACTGCCAGCTGGCTCAGGGTCAACATATTCGTAAATTCTCCACTAGATCCGGTAAACATTAGCGTAATTTCGGACGCGCTATTGATTTCACTGACAATTTTACATCGCTGCCAAAAAAGTGAGCTTTGTATTTAACTATACACCTACGTTGGGATTCGTGTCATACGGTAGGAGGTTGTCTGGTATAGTTGTCTGACGTTTGAGTGGCGTAATAATATTAGTATTGTGTGTATGCAATCTTATACGAAGTATGCTCAATTTTCTATGCCAATTCAGTTTATTCGAATCTTTCATATCTCTTGCGTATCTTTGAAAAAAGAATAAATATAAAATATAAAATTTGTCATATATAAATATTGACTTTATTTTATGTAATATATGATACATCTTGTAATTTTATATATTACAGAGAACTATTTTGCGTAACCAAAGCACATTGAGAATTAACAGCCAAGCTTTGAAAGAAATAAGATGGCAACATTTCAAATAACAATTAATAATTTTTGCAAGCAGTTTGATTACATATTGTGATAAAATAGTTTTAATATCTTATAAAAAGACATGAAAAATAACAACATTAATACACGCATCCTCTTTTTTTTTTCTCGAAAGGACTTTAATTCACGTTTAGAAAAAAAAGAATTCGGTACTAAAAATAAATTCATTTTCGCGATATACACATATATATACATATATATCGCGAGAATATAAAGCAAATTATATTGAAATAATAGGAAAAATTTTTTATATATCACACATGCGATATATAGAAATAATGTTACGGTATACGTAGGAAAAAAAGTCCTCTCAACAATTTGCTAACAGAATTACGCCACCGATTGCCAACAATTTATTTCGGACCACAATCATACCGAAGCAATTTCTGTACTTCATTAACATTGATGTATGCGCATGACGAATTTACATGCGCAGATAATGTCCGTAACATCAAAAATTGCTTTGGTGCCGACGTGGCCATCATATATACCTAATAGAACGATATCCACATCCACATTACCATTGTAGTGGGAGCTGTATATCCCGACTTTACCAGCGACTCGTCCACCGACCGGCATCTTTGTATCTTTTCTTCTCGATTTGTCACCTGCAACGGAAATCTCTCACTTTATTGCAGGCGAGGGTTTAAAAGATATGAACTAGCAGAATGCATAGCAACGTTTCCCCTTCCTTCTCGCTTCCTACCTCAGCTTCCATCTTTTTAATATTATATATTTTATATTTTCTTTCTTTTGCTCTTCGCTTTGCTTTTTTCGGAACCTTTTTCTGTTATTGTATGTCTTGTTATATTATACATATTTCGTAAATATAATATACGGTTCTTTCGTGTTTTAGCTCATTTACTTTAGATCACAGTTATTAAAATGCTCTATACTTTACCAACTCTTTATATTATTTATGACAATTAATTAATTTTTCTAAGAAATTAAATAATAGAACTTGTTCTCTTTAGGCTTTTATAAATTATACTAATCAATAAATCTGTTTTTTATTTCTGATATCTCGATATATGATATTATGTAAAAAAATACGTTATATATAAAATTATACAATTATTTAAATTTTTTTCATATGCACGGAATATATGAAAATATGAGAGTATCAATAATAGCATTCACATATAATTCTTAAAAATTTCAATTTCATTGACAACGATATTCGTCGAATATTCGTCGCGCGCACGTTGAGTTCCATTTTGAGGAAACGAGCGGAAGTCACGGAGTGACAAATAGAGTAAGCGATAGGGTCTTTCACACACAAAACGGCTTTTTTTCACTCTATTCACTGTTAATTTATTCCAACCGGAACATGAAGAAAAGAAATTGGAAAAGGAAATTGGAAATTTCGAAAAGAAAATTTCATTATTCCATATATTCCAGAGAGAAAAGTTATTTATTGCTTCGTCAAATTTGTGATCAATTTTGCGATTGTAAATAGAAAATTATATGTAAAATACATATATTTATAAAATAATTAAAGTTTATAATAAAAATAAAAATATGATCATTTACGCGCTAGATGCTCGTAATAATGCTCTCTAGAGATTTATTAATTGAATATTTCTGTAAATTAGAGCAAGAGAATCATGTGAAAAGATTGACATAAATATTATTGAATAAATGTATATATAGATGTACGTCTTTTCAAGATCTTTCTTTTTTATCTATTTTAGATGTAAAATTAAACAATTATAATTTAAGATAGAAAAAAAATATTTTATATTTTACAGCAAAGATATAACGCAAAAAACATATACAAATTTTATTGCTCTTCAATATTTTTTTGCGAAGATATATGCATTTCTCTGTGCACTGTCATTTTTTAATTATCGTATATGTAAAAATTACATGAAGGTAAATACATGAAGGTAAATCAGAAATAATAAATTCTTGCTTTTGTAATGATATTTCTGATTTATCATTCTTACAATCTGACTTTTGTTTATTGTTCGTGACTATTTACCATTTATCTCCGTCTGAGAGAGCAAACGTATTTATGTAAGAATACGCGTGGATTACTTTTTGCCATCGTTTCCTCAGTATCCTCAAATGACTGATGCCATTATATACACAGATAGGCGAGGAGATAAATTCAGGGACCGTAGGAGCTTCCTGACTTCCTCGAATTTCTGAGACGTGACTTCTAATTTCCGAGTTCTTTGCGTCGCTACCGAAAAGCTTTCTTTCGAGCAACGACGAAGTTTGCGGCCCTGCGCAAATGTCAGCATCGATCAAAGGATTTGCTTGTTAGCAACACACCGATGGAAGTGAGTCTACCGTACAAGAAGGGTCGGAAGGAAGGGGCTGTCACATCATCACATTTTGTCATATGACCTAGAGAGGAGACGTCGTTATGTGTACCTCGTAGAGTCGAAAATAGGATACTTTAGGTGCATCTCTCTTCAACTCCGTCTAACCGCCGAACATTTTCCCCTTTGCGATTCGCGCTCGGCCAAGCTGGAAAGCAATTTTCAACTGATTACAATATCGCTTTATTGTAATTAACTACTTTGCTCTGGATAAGTCCGCTCTGAATTGAGCGAGCACAATAAGTGAAAATTACAACGACGGTTATTCACGATATACCTATAAAAATATAATTGTTATTATAGCGTGTTTACTATATGTATAATGCATTATTGTGTAAAATTGCTGCATTGTAATATTAATATATACACATAATTAATATATATATATTAATATATACACATATGCGTATATATATGTAGCTACATTGTACTAATAATATACTATTATTATTATATATTATTGAACTAAATGATAAATTTTTTGTACTTTTGTCGTAAAATATAATACAAGATTTCGTTATATTCTTTTCTTTATAAAATATAACGGAAGCAAGAAAGTAATACTTTGCATGCAAACGTAGCTATTTGTCGTTGAATAAAATCAGAATCCGCTATCGCGTACCGCAAATTTTTTTTTCTGATCTTTTCTCGTTGAAATTTACCAGTCTGATCTGAGCAAAGAATAAAGCGGAAGATGTAATCAAGCGTTCTAACATGATCTCGTGTTCTTTCAAGCCGAACGCTTCTTTAAACAGCGCCGAAAGCGCTGCTTTTCTACGGGACAGAAAGATTATTGTGGATGACTCCTCGATTTGTAATCTCTACGATCGATGGTTTTGCGGATACATAATATATATAGTTGTGAAACTAGACTTTGACTTCAGTTAGAAAGCTAGCGAGGAGATAGATTTTGGAAAAAAAATTTTGGTCTTTTTGCTCGCCGTAATAAAAAAAAAAAAAGAAATTACAAATCATAATTAAAATTGTTGATACGATTAAAAATACAGAATATTTAAACTTACAAATTGTTGAAAAATATCTTCTCTTTTTTTCTTTTTTGATGGAACAATGAAGAAAATTTGTATGTAATCAAAAAGATCTTCTCTTTTCGGATTGTAAACTTTTTTACATTTCTGAAAATTTTAGTGAAAAAAAAACCGGCACATACTGCGTGCAACCGCTATGTAATTGTCTATTTAAAAGAAAGATCACGCTTCTAGATATTGATATCTCGAAAAAACGTAAAACTTATGCCAAATTTATTTTATTCTCTGTTCACATACAGCGACGAGCTTTTTCACGAGTTTCTCACGAATTAATTCCGACCTCGCTCGAAACTATCTCCGAGATTCGACAAGCCGGCGTCTTTGGAATCTTGGCTGTAAATTCTAGAATTTGAAATCCGCTACGGATCGGTTACGCTCTGTTTCGAAATTCAAGTTTCGGCAAACATGCACTTGAATTCGAACTCCTTTTGCGTTAACAACGTGGAGCCTCGGATTATTGAAACAGATAACAGACACCGTGGTGCGATTATTCCCTAGACGGTCTTTTTAATCAAGCTCCCCGCTTAAGTGAGATCAACAAGTTAGCTTCGTTAAACCCATCGTGTATACACATCGCTTTTGTATATGCGCTCCAAACGGTCCTTTGTTTTCCACAATTAAAACGGATTCTCGTCAACAGAAGAGACAAGTATTCATGGGTCGGGGATGGATGCTTTCGTTGTGTCCTGCGAGCGTTTTGCAACAACGACCGACTGTCACACAAATGCATATAAATGCAGTTGACGCAGTAGCGGCGCTGAAACCGTCGTTGTCGCGCTTTAACGGATCTGCAGATTAGTCCGCGATGAAATTTGCTCACGATTTATTAATTAACGATGACGACATTGTTTCTGAAAAGCTTCGTAGTGTGCGAATTCAACGGCGCGGTCGCCGAATTGCAAGTGTCGTGGTCTCGATGCCGTTATCGCTTGATCGTACGTGAGATTCATCGAATTTACGCGCTTATCCAATGAATATTATCTGACAGAATATCATTGAAATATTTACACAATTACAATGCAAGAAATTCAAAAGGAGATCAAGTGTAATGTAAGAAGTTTCAGAATTTCAAAGTTTTGGAAAGGAAAAAATTTATATATATACGTCGCATTTATTCCTATATCATTTTTGTATCTTCAGAAAATGATCTTTATATACAGAAATATCGTTGTATAAAAAACACGCATTTGTTATATATTTTAGAATACTCTAAGAATATTATGCAACACATACATATTCTTTCTTAAATTATAAACCGAATTATATCTTGAATTTTGTCATGAATTATAGATCGTCTAAAGTGGGTTTAAGGAAGAATATGTATGTTGCATAATATTCTTAGATTCTCTGTCTTCTGCTTTTACAAGTCCAATTAGCATTTATCAAAGAAGCATCTTTTGCCTGGAGCAATTTCACCGTTATTTCGTGTTTAATAAAAAGTTAGTTATTGAAACAGTAACGGTCCCAATTAGCAAAATTAGTGAATACTTTATTGCTCGGAGATACACTGAACATTCTGCGTCTCTACAAGCACGTCAATATTTAGCTTACAGCGGTAAAAGGTGATAGCAAAATATTCCGGAAAATGAAAATAAAATACAGATTATTTTAATATGTATGAGCCAACAGCATCAAAAAATGGTTTTTTATCGCATCGCAACATTTACATCCGTCAAAATATGCTGATAATTGCGCATCAATGAAGGTCTTCTATTTAAATCTCTGCATGAATTTCATACTTATTGAAAGAAGAATATTATTCATTCGCAAATATCAAAACATTATTGCAAAACTTGAATATCATCCTGATAACAGACATGTTAATTAACTGAACTTAAAGCGAGAATTATATAATTCTCAACTTCAAACGGATTTAATTAGCCGGAACAGCATTTTCCTTTATATATTAAAGCGCTTATTTCTGAATTATGCCGCGTTCCGCCTACTATATATTTTTCAAAGGATTTGGTAATTATGATTCTTATTATTGTTACTGACAAAGCTACGAAATACACTCGCGTTTATACTGCTGCTTTGCACACGCAATGTGCGAACTGCATTTTGTGCAAGGGGGATTTAACTAGCAACTGCGCAAGTTTCAAAATTAATTTGCATACAAAGTTCTATTCAGTTAAAACATGCATTTGAATATTTCGCGAGATTCCCACACAGTTTTGATAATATTACAATCTATACATATGGGTGAGGAGCGGGGACATACATACACAGATGTGCCGATTGCGCGAATTCAATGGTACTCGACATTCTTCGGAATGCGAAAATTTCGAGTTGCGAAATATACGCGTTTACGAAGGGCAACGTAATCTCGAAAAGCAACGACGATAATGATGGCTACATTTTTCAAGTGTAGCTGTCCTCTTTGTAATTATGTGACGGGTGTTTTAACGTATTATCATCTACACATAAGGACACAAAGAAACGACAAGGATCTTTGTTTCGGTAAAGATGCAGATTGTTAATGAGTGAGTATACGACGGTTGTCTCCGCGCGCGACAAAGGAAATGAGAGCTTTTGTCCGCCGTTCGATGCGTGCCCTCGCGAATGCAATTGACAATGCGCTTGGCGTTATTGTCCCACTCATCAACGTCATTGTCAACCGCGCGCGGCTATTCACGATTCCTATTAACAACGTATCTGCTCTTCTACTGCGTTTCCCGTGTCTATGATTGATCGAGCGCGATACTTGGCACACAAACTCTGCATTAATTTTACGCAAAATTCTTTGATAAAAATTTGATTGAATTGTCAAGGACTCTCCGTTTAATATGCGCTCGAAGACTTCATCCTGTTTATGAAGAATGTCTGAATAAATAATATTTAAAGAGGAATTTTTAAAAAATAATAACAAATATTTAAATTGTAGAAAAAATTATATATATTATAATAGGATTTATAATAGGATATTATAATAGGATTTAAAACTTTATATTTTTTATCGTAAAGATAAACATTTTACAAAGTCGTAAAAAATGTAATATATACACAGCACAATGCATAGAAGAATATGATCCAACAAAAATTATTTTGCAAATAATAGCATGACGATAAGTAAAACATAAAATTTTATTCTCAAGTAAAAAAGAAAAAAAGAAAATAGATTAGAACTTTAAAACCTTTCCCACTCTCGTTTATATTCAATGTATCTTGTATCTAAACTCAACAATGGACTTTATGTCACAAGACTAGCAGGGGGATATGGGTACTAGAAACTTAATCGTATATCGAACGCTATTTACTATTTACGTTCGTTCCACGTCTATTTCGGGTGAATAATAGATCCCCAGAACGCTGTTGCTAAAAAGGAATGGCTTTAACCAATTGGTTTAATACTCTGATGCAATTGCATCCATTGTCATGACAAATCATTCGATTATATATATCATCTAAACGATTATTCCAAAAATTTGCACCGTTTGAGAAATGCTGTGTAATATTTCTAACTTTTTTATTTATTAAAATTTTTTTAGCAGATAAATTTGAGAAAAACTTTCATTATATAAAGAATATAAATATAAATGTATTATACTTTTTTTCTCTTCTCTCTCATAATTATGTTTTATTTATATGTAAAAAAAATATATATTTATTAGAATCATTTTGCCCGCAAATATTTTAATAACTTTATGATAATATAAGCCATAAATATACAAATGCATAGAAATATACATCTAAATGCATTTTGGTTAATAATGTTACGTTTAATTTCTTACTGGCTAACAAAATGATACGGCAAGTATATGATGTATACAACGTGCTCTCGAACGTGATGCAGCTTGCATAAACAAGACGTTATCTTCAGATATTCTCAAAGCACGTACTTAAACTTTTCTGTTTAACTACAAGCGGATAACTTTGCGTCTCGGCAACACGAGAACTGCAGAGAATTATCGTTTGCTGTTAAACAGACTTTATGCGGAATTCTGATTTATATTTGAATAAAACGAGATTTTGCTATTATAAAATATCAAGTATACACTGTGAAGATGTAAAAACTTTTTACGAGAGTGTGGAAAAACTTGAGGAAAATGTGTATAGTGTAAAACGAGGGCAATCAATTTTCTATTATTTTGGTATGCACAGA